CAGTCTTCTTCGTTGCTTCCAATCAGCTCTGGCATTATTGCAAATCCCTCACTTTACTCCGCTGTACTTGGTCATTTCAATCATACGTATTGGCTTTTGCATTGATGAATCATATAAAACAGCATGACCATTGCACTGCAAGCACATTTTCCCAGGCAATTCCAACTTCCTGGTCGTCATGACTTCTCCTCACTTGCAATAGTTTTCTTCCGTTATCGTTGTTATTGCTACATTGCAAGACAAAATTTGCTGTGTTTCATTGTTAAACCCTAACAGATACTGGGTAAAATTCTGATCTGAAAGTGATAGGTGAATCTGGTTATCTAAAGTCCAATTGAGATATTGAGGAATCTTACTCCCATTAAATTTGTGAATCAGGGTTACACGGTGCTTACTTACTGTCCAATTCACGTTTCAAATTTTTTTTGATTTGTCCTCTAGGATGCTGAAGGAAGTCTTATCCCCCTATACCCAATGCTTATTGGATGGTTATTTGATTAAGACGATTGGTCTTCCCACTTAAATGATCATAACATCTGAGGCATTCAAAATGCTTGCAGTTAGCTGGGCACAAGTGCCTTTTAGTCATCTACTGTATCCTTTATATTTTATTTATTTATTTCAAATGGCGGACTTTATGACACTTATCATTAGCCCTTTAGCTGACTTCGGGCTTCACAGAGGGAAGGTTCATCAAAGTAGCAGAAAGTCGAGGGGTGGGGAAGAGAAGAGCGATTCACAGATGTAAAAGAGGCAGACAGACACAAAGGTTGAGAAAAAGGTAAGGTGGGTACAGTAGTAGGGGTCGAATATGACAACCAGGGGGGTCGTGGTAGTTTGAAGTGAGAAGTCAACTGTCGGTTAATAGACTTTTTTGCCGTATGAGTGTACGTTGGCCAGGGTACACCACTTGGAGGTAAGTCTATCGCACACCCCGTATCCTTTATATTTGTTTATCTAAAGTGTCTTTTATTGCTACTTTCTCCTATTTGAGGAACAGTTGCATGGGTTTCTTTTGTGTATTGGGGGTTCCAATCACCTCAGTTGAATTTTTTAAAACTTTATTTGTCAGTTGAGTGTCTAGTTTTTATATATGCCTTAGATATTTCTCGAATTCAGACAGCACTACCTAATATGCGGTGTGTGTCTAGGTTAGATACCCGCAAATTACGATTTAATCGTTTTGCTTATAAGGTGCCAAGTTTCGAGTAATTTAAGTGATTCCTAAACGATTAAACAATTAATATTAAAAATAAATGACCCATCGAACATTGTGAAAATCTAGACATTGTATGTCTCGACTTATTACAGTCCCAAGATCGTGTTAAATCTTACTAATTTTGATGAATTTTATATGCAGTGGAGTTCATCTATCTGCGTATTGTAAAGTCATCTTATTTAGAAACAATGTCTTTCATTAATGTGTGCTTTCACCGCTCTCTTACAGGTAAAGTGGTCGCTAATTTTCAGGGTTTTATCTAAGTCACATCTCTATGAATAACTTAAACAGGTCATTTTCGAATTGGAACTAGTATCAACGTTTCTCACCTACCAGGCCAAATTTTTTTGTCTCCCAAATTTTTACTAACTTGGTAATGAAATGTCACATTTGGCCTTCACGATACGATTTCTCAAAGTTATTATCGAGTGGGGGGGGGGGGGGCAGTCTTACTAACTCTCCAACTTTCCATATATTTTGGCTCATCATTCTCGCCTTAACCCCATAACGCCCAAATTATTTTGTTTTTTTTTGAGAAATGCACCCAACCGTACTCGCTCGTGTCTCGCAGGAGACTGATTCCACCGACGTGATGAGTTTCTGCGGTGTATCAGGCGAAGGCTATAGGCACGTATTGAAGATGTCTCAAACGGCTATAGCGCCGCTTCTGTTACGAGTCTCGTATTAATGGAGCTTACTTTGATAGAGGACCGTAGGGTACTGCAGGGCGTTAAAGGGTTAAATGGTCGTTAAACCCCTAACCTCACCTCATTCACCTAAACGCAGACATCCTTTTTATTCCACCTATCATGTGATAGTTGTGTTATTTTTTCCTGTCTTGTATTAAGTAGATTTTGTGCTGCTATTCACATTTCAAATGTCACAATTTCTGGCCTATGATACTCCCTTATAACCGTCACCGAAGGCGAATCTCGTAAGCTTTTCTCTATTGGTTGGGCAAGATACTTGCTTAATAATTTATTGCGCAAATTGTCATTCGCAATTGGCTCATTCCATAGGTGGTAATCTTTTGCACATTTCAAATAAATGCTACCCGAATTCAAATCCATGCCATCGAGTGTTTTTATTAGCAATTTCCTACATTTATTCCTGCCTTTCTTTGTCTTTAATTATAAAAATAAATCTATCCTTCTTCTGGTGTCATTTTCTTGTGCAGTTTTATTTCCTTAAAATACTTAATTTAGACTTTTTTGGCTTTGAGCTGCATTTTGTAAGTCAAAATTTTGCTAAATCGACTAACTAATAGCTTTTTTCCCATACCTTTTAATAAGTTTGATCAAATTCCTTTTTTTTAAAATTTGCATTAACGAGGCTTTAATTCAAATTACGATTACCCCTTTCCTCACGTTTTGATGCATGCTCTCTTTATCTCAATTAAAAACTCGACATTTTTTGTGTGTGTTATACTGGCCAGGAAGATGACCAACTCTAAAAATATCAACCAATCACTTTTCAAGGCCATCTCGCCAAAGCTCATTTTCTTGGTTGGCTTTGTTACTTATTTGCATTAATTTATAAACAAAAATCAATTGAAATAATGAATATGTGCTTAGATTAGGTCACACTGATCCTATTGGTTGGTTGAGTATGCACTCGTGCAATGTGATTGAGCAAAAGCGATTGGTGGTTTGAGTTGTGTGAAAAGCTTGCATCCTCTTAGCACACACGTTGGTATTCAATCGCACACAATGGTGTCTTGTACAGAAGAGGATGCTTAATTCTAGTTCAAGTTTTGATGCCTCTGGCTTTATTCGTAAGTTTTCACTGCGAAAAAAGAAGTGGCCAGATGATTATGTAGCCCCACCTCAACCTCAGGGGGGTAAACAAGGGGCTAATGCTGGGATCTACCGCAGGAGAATAAAGTCAAACCCCTCCTCTTCCTCTCCTTCACCTCCTTTCTCTCCCTCCACATCTCCCGGGATCACTTTTTCCTTGCCTCAACCTTTGACCTCCTTTGCTCTTTCAGAACTTCGGACCCAATTCGCCGACCAACTCAAATGTTTGGATTCAAAATTGGATTTGGATGTTACGGTGATGGCGGAACTGCATGAATTCTATCGAAGAAGGGCGCTTGTGGAACAGGAGTATTCGGATTCTCTTGCGAAACTCGTCAACTCCCTCAAACATAAGCACTCGAATGAGACTGGAAAGTGAGTGTCCTTTTTCGTTCGTCTTTCTACCAACTTATGTTCTTGTATGAGTCATTTGTAAGTTCATAAATTTATAACTTTATATAGACGTGGTTTAGCATCTTACGAATTTGTGTGTGTATGGATTTGAGGTTGAATTCACCTTGCCACTACCCTCGATTAGATGTTTTGAAAATGATGATTCAAAAGTCTTTGAATATCTCGCATGAGTGAAGGCCGTTTAATTGATTATTGCTGAATAAAAAGATTTTTTGCGTCATACCATCGTTCTAGATGCCATTTAATTTGTCTGGAATGGTGGGCCAGCCATCGTGAAATCTATGCATTCTCCCTTCCTATAACTATATATCATATTAGGCACAGAAATCACGCAGTATATATAAATAACCCATCGGATTTCACCCACGATTATTTTCCCGATAAAAAGGAGTTAATAAAAAGTTATTGTTCAATTATTTCATTATTTAATAAATTGTTGTTTCCATTGTCTATAGAGCAAACTAATAGAGTTTGTGCTTAGGATCAGTTTCACTGGTGGTGGTGGTGGTGTCTGCAACTGCCAGTAGACGGGACTGAACATTTTGGAAGTTCGGAACAGAACTCACTAAATTCTGAGTAGATTTCTCTTCTCATGGCTTGGGATTAGCTTACTATTCTTTCCTGATCATGCCATACTTCTATCTCATTGGCTAGGGAAGGTGGTTAACTAAATACATAACTCACTGTAGTATAATGTGGCAAGGAAATGCTTTCGCTGAACACTACCTCTTCCTTCTCTTCTAGATCTACTGTATCTGTAGTGTTTCTCATTTAGCTGCCTAGAATCTGTAAAATTTGGCGATATTCCACTGATCTTGTGGTTTTATATTTGTAATTACTCCTGAGATAGGGTTGGCATTCTATGTTAAACAATTCTCATCTTAAAGCTGTGTATTCAATCGAAAGCTCCTCATTCTAAATCACACCTAGAATTCTTTACATCAAAATTAGCATTCCCCCCCCCCCTGCTTATTGTTGATTGGCCCGTCTTGATCACTTCGTCGTAGCCTTGTCAGGCTTTCTTTAAACATGCTTGATTGTAATCACAAAATGCTGGTTGTGTTTTCTTACATGCGCATTAAGGAGCGCTGAGACCTACTTTTTGACGCCAAGGCGTTTACTTCTGGCTATACTCTCTCTTCTTATTTTTACTTCGTACGAAAATTTAACTTCGTAGTTTCTTGAAAAGGGGAGGGGAGCAGGGTTTCTTACCGCAAACAGGGAAACTTTAACTCCGGTAAATGTTTGCGATCTTTTTTTTGGGGGGGGGGAGAGTGGGGTGCGTGTTTGTACTTTGTCATTATTAAGCTGCTTATCCCCTCCATTCCCCCATCAATCAATGAAAGGATAATGGCCTTTTCAGCTGTTGATTTCGGAAATCTTTGAGCCAGTATTAACTAGCTCCTAGTGGTTTGAGAGGGTCTTTTGAAAAACCTGGAGCCATTCATTTGTCAAATGGCAAAGTAAAAGGTTTGGTCCTAGATGGATATCTTAGTTCCAATAATGTTTGTGATCAATTTCTCATTTGATTTGGATTGGCATTTTAAAAATTAACCGCTTAATTATATGTATATTTTGGGCATGACGTATACTTACGGAATGGAGGCGGGGGGAGGGGGGAGGGAGATCTCAGTTTCCCCTAGTTTGAATTTGTGATCGGTATCTCTGTACTTAAGATATTGGATAGTGAGATATTTAGACGCATTTTATTCAATCGAGGCTTAGCTTTTAAGGTTATCCTGATCACGTAATCATTCATTTCAGAAGCCACTACTCTTGGTTGGTTTCCTATCAGAAAAAAAAGAGCGCTTTCTACGAAGCATTCTGCCAATTGTTTATGGGGTGTACCAATCTTAATTTAATTTTGCAAAGGCCTGCTTGTTGAACTAATTCGGCTTGATAAATTCTTTTTTTTGTCTGTTCTCATACTCACAATTTTGTCACGTAATTTTGCGCTTACTGAGTTCTCTTGGATTTAATTAAATAATTAACCTAAACAATAAGCACCGAATGTCTGGCATTGACAATATTTATTGAGCAGTAAAGCGGGGGGTGGGGGGTGGGGGTGACTCCGATCTTGGGGAAGACCGTTTGATGTTGAAAGATCACCGTTTTTCGTAACTGGGTTTATTGGACTAACGAGGCGGGGGGGGGGGGGGGGGGGGGGGGGG